AAATCTTAGGTATCAAAACAGGTGACTCTGCACTGGCATGTACAATTCTTGTCAGTATTACTACAACAATAGACTGTAATTATCCATGGGTTATTTACATTGCACTAAGTATCATTTATAATCTGGAAGTGATTTACCTTTTCAGAAGGATATATGTAGTTTATAAATGAATATCACTCTGCTTAATATAAGGGACCTGAAAATACTCAGATTTTGGTGTTTTGGGAGATGGTGGCAGAGAGGTCCTGAAACTGTCCCCCATAGACACCAGGGGTTACTATTTGTGGGTAAAGTACATCTGAATAAAACTGGGTTAAATCAAGCTACATAGAATCCTTTATGACAACTTTTGGGTCCTGTATGTTGAAAGTTATAATATTTGATAGTTCTCAAACTTAATGACAACAGGATACTTCTTTTTTAAAAAAATAATTACATTAATTTATTTGTTCTTTGTGTGTGTGTGTGTGTGTGTGTGTGTGTGTGTGTGTGTGTGTATGGATGAGTGTGCCATGGCACACGTGTGGTGGTCAGAAGTCAACTTTCAAGGATCTATTCTCTCCTTCCACCATCTGGGCCCCAGATATTGAAATTGAATCTTCAGCATTTGCAGCAAGAGCCTTACCTGCTGAACCATCTCGCCACCCAGGAACCTCTTCTTTCTTCCCCAAAACTTCTAATATTTCTAGGACATTAATTTTCCTCAACATACATTTTAATGCCTGACATAAATTCCTTCCTATTTTGAATAATCTACCCGTAAAACTAGACCAGGAATTGCTGGGATTCAAGGAATCTATACATATAACTATTTTATTGAAAAGTTTCTCTACAACACCTGGGTGAAACACTCAAATTGGATTACACAAGGGATTTAATACACTAAATTCAAGGCTTTGGGGGAAATAAAGGTGGCACAGGATCATACACTTAGTGTGAAGAAAAAAGCAAGTAGATTCCAGGACAAGAGCAACAAAACACCTAGTTGAAGAATGCACTCTGTCCCACCAACCTGGACACCTGGTGCTCTCTGCTTACCTGTTGGTACTTCACATTATCTTTAGAGAGATGGCAAGGGGTACCACTGATGTAGCCCAAATCATCAGTCTCCTAAGGCGAATGAAAGATACTGAACACAGCTTCCAACACCTTCCTTTTTAAGTGTCCCCAAAATCATCTTACTATAGCATTAGAGGGGAGATGGTCTTGAGGCCAGGTAGGCTTGGACCCTTAGTTGTTTATGTAATCTTGGCATGAATGCTTTAAAGTGATGACCAGGAGGCTGTGATGACCTCAACCATGCCATTGACAGTTCATCTCTGCTTTGAAAAATGTCTGATTTGTGCTCCACCACTGTTTCCCTACCAGGTTGCAGTAGAGTCTTTACAATACACTGATTCCAAAACTTGACCCCAAGTCTCCTGACACTAGTCACTGGGAAGGAACTGGGGATCTTAGGGATTCTGAAAATTGGCTAAGCACATTCCTCCACTCTGCCTGGTGCTGAATTGTTGGCACTTTCACTTGGTTCCTGATAACAGATCTGGAGAAATGGGCCAGTCCGTGTGAGAGGATTAGGCAAACATAGACTCAAAGTTGGCCAACATGTTTGACTGACCATGACAGGCACCACTTCTGAAGTAACAATGCTTCCTCCTGGATTGTTTTCAAACTACTGGTGGCTTGACAAATGACTGACAAAGAGATGCTACAGCACTATGGATGATATGCCTTTGCACATTGACACTCCATTGGAAAGCAAGACTCCTGACTTACTCCCATTCTCTCAGCCTCCTACCCTCATGGTCTTCCCAAACAGTTCCATCCTGAAGACAAAGCAGGCATCCATGGGAGTGTGAGTAGGAACTGGTCTTCCCAAACAGTTCCATCCTGAAGACAAAGCAGGCATCCATGGGAATATGTGGAGGTCCAGACAGGGTGTGGGAGGCCCAGCCTAGGGAGGAGGCAGTGCCCCATAGAGGGCTACCCTTGTCCACAATGTCAGCTTGAATGGGTGAGAAGGATGTTGACCCTTTTAAAATTGAAATCTTATTTGTGTGTGTGTGTGTGTGTGTGTGTGTGTGTGTGTGTGTGCACCTGCTCATGTGCATGCCAAACACTTCCACACAGAGAGGCCACATGGTGTGAAGTATCAGAGTCCAAGGATAATGAGCAGACTCCACATGGAGGAAGTCATGACGAAAGCACAGGAATTAGAGTTGGAGCCTTTGCAGGAGAAGGACATCCTAAGGATGGGAGATGACCTCCACACAGGAAATTGATCAAAATACATTAAGAAGAAAAAGTCATCACTTAGAAGAGGGAATTATTAATACAGAAAGGGAGAGTCTAGAATAAACTCATGGTTTCAACACAGACTTAAATATACACCAACACACACACACACACACACACACACACACACACACACACACACCACACCACACCACACACCATATCTATATAAATAGTCCAAAGCTCTGTCCATTGACAGGACCTGACAGTGATGATACCTCAAAAGCAATGATGACAATGATCACAAATCCCGGCTTCTAAATGCTAGCTCCATTGTTAGATTGCAAACTCTCTTTGAAACCTCTCTCCATCTCCCCCAAATCAGGTCATGCCCCTCTGGGACTGAGTTAAGAGGTTATTCTATGCTGTGGCCTTGCAGCCTATCCCTCTCAAAGCTACATGGCAAATGTGTGGTGCTGTCCAGTGCCTGGCTCCTTGTCATATAGGCTGTGTCAGACCAAATCATGTAAAGTGAAGCTTGCTACCAGCCTCTCCAAAACATAAAAGTTAGGTATCCTTTTTGTTCAAATGATTTCCCCAAAGGCACACTCCCTGCTTTCTTTAGTCCTGCCCCCTCCAACATGTTGTTCACAGTGGTAATCCTTTTTTTTTTAAAGATTTTATTTTTATTTTATTATGTATACAACATTCTGCTTCCATGTATATCAGCACATCAGAAGAGGGCACCAATTCTCATAATGGATGGTTTTAAGCCACCATGTGGTTGCTGGGAATTGAACTCAGGACCTCTGGAAGAGCAGCCAGTGCTCTTAACCTCTGAGCCATTTCTCCAGGCCTGGTCATCTTCTTTTTGAGCTATCTTTTTGAATGTTTCTCTACCCCAAGGCCCAATCCTGGCCCCAATGTTTGCAAAGCTCTCTCTCCCAAGAAAGCTCATTTCTGAGGGGCTATTGGTCTGAGTGTCCTTTCTTGCTTTCCCTGGGGTTAATAACATCCACTAAACAGGACTAGGAATTCTTAGAGAATTGCTGGTTTCAGGGCTGGCACAGGGGAAGTTTGAATGACTAGTATCAGAAAGCAAACTATGTGCCTGAAGATGGATGCATGTCTGCCAGCAGGACCCAGAAGCTGGTGGACACAGTTTGACAGTGAAATTAGCAATGGATCAGTTTGTTGGTCACAGATAACAACCCACTGAATAACAGCAAAGACCACGGTATAAGAAAGCACAGATCTAAAAAAAAAAAATAAGTGAATAGCTTTAAAGTTTAAGGAGGAAAACAATATTAGAACAGTTTTGAAGCAATTCCTCATAAAAATACTTAGAGAGTAGGTTTGCAGTGAAGAACTCCAACAGCACCATGTGAATCCATCAAAATGAGCAGCAGAAATCAAGTGGGATAAATAATATACAAGAAAATAAAACTCAATGGGCTTCCTTGAGAGTCAAATAAAAGTGTTCCTTGAGCCTGATCACATAGAAACATTGGACAAAGCCCAACTGAGGGCTGCTCTGTAAAATAATTACCCTGTGCTGCAAACACCCAGGTATGAAAAGAAAACCAAGACAGATACATAATTCCAAACAGACAGAGGTGAAAATGAAGGGAAAATCTAATTGGGGCCTTCAGGACAGTTAGGGCAACTGGCAAAGCTTGAATCGTGTCTGCCTTAGTTACTGTTCTATTGCTGTGAAGAGACATCATGGCCAAGACAATTCTTAGAAAAGAAAGCATTTAATTGAGGCTGGCTTATAGTTTCAGAGGGTTAGTCCATTATCATCATGACGGGAAGCAGACAGGCATGGTACTGGAGCTTTAAATCTTAATCTGCCGGCAGCAGGCAGAGAGAGTGAGACTGGGATTGGTGTGGGGTTTTGAAATCTCAAAGCCCATCCCCAGTGACACACCTCCAGCAATCCTACACCTCCTAATCCTTCCCAAACATTTTTTCTTCCTTCCTTCCTTCCTTCCTTCCTTCCTTCCTTCCTTCCTTCCTTCCTTCCTTCCTTCCTTCCTTTAATTTTGGGAGACAGAGTTTCTCTTTGTAGCTTTGTAGACCAAGATGGCCTCAAACTCACATAGATCTGCCTGCCTCTGCCTCCCGAGTGCTGGGATTAAAGGCGTGTGCCACCACTGCCTGGATTCAAACATTTCTACTGAGGATCAAACATTCAAACATTGTGAGCCTGAGGTGGCCATGTTCATTCAAACCACAGGACCATAAGTGGAAAGACAGCATGCTGCTTTCCTGACTTTGACAGTGGCTTTGTGGTGAGGTGTGTCTTTGTTGGGGCCCTCGGAGGACTTAAGAGGTGATGAGCATCAGGTCTATCCACTCTCAGAGAGTTGAGGAAGGTCCTCTCTACTGCTTTTACACTTTGCGGTAATATTGTAAATGTTAAATGAAAAGAGAATGATCACAGGAGGGATAGAACCAGGAGGAGCTGCTCCTTGAAACAACACATTCATGATACAGGTGTGTGTGTGTGTGTGTGTGTGTGTATGCTCATGTGCATGGGTGTGTGCAAGTGTGTCTGAGTGTGTGCATGTCATACTTTCAAATTGCTTTTCTTAGATCCAAATAAGGAGAAATGTCTCATAGAGCACCAGAGTTTGCTATGTCCTCTGAACTGACTTTTTATTACTATTATTATTATTAGGAAAGAGAGTTATCAATCATTTTTACACAGAATCAAGAAGCCCAGAAACACAACGTCTAGAAAGACACAATCTTGTCTTTATTAAAGAAGTTCCAAAAGCCACTCATGAGTTTAAAACCTGTTAATTACATGCTTTAGTCTTGGTATAATCAGGTTAAAAAAATTGTCTGCCAGGTTGCCTCCCATGGTTATCAAGGAGACCAAAGAAACTTGCAGTTGAATTCAGGGCTTGTGTTGAGAGTGGCAGACCTCTGGATCTTCATGTCCATCTCATTCCATCTCTCCCTATTGCCCATATGGCACCTTCCTCCCAAGAGCCTTCTTGAAAGCGGGCCTCTGGTATCTCAGGTCTTCTTTGGGTACGTCTCATCCTTAAGTTCTTCTTGAATAGAAGATTTTAAACCAACTTAAATTGTTCCACTGCAGCCCCATATCTAAAGACTGCTGCCTCCTGCTCCTTTCGAGGTCAGATGTTCGCTGGTCATACTGACCCTGATCCAAAAGACTTAGTGGAGTTCTCCGACTCTGAAGTAGTGTCAGTTATAATAGGTTCTTTCTATGTTTGTATTTCAATGAGGAGCTTTCTGTCCATGGTTTGGTCCTCATGTTGATGCTCTGGCTCAGTGGACACTGTCCTGAATTATACTCAATGGACATTTTTTTCATGCCACTGTACTTATGTTCCTTTCCAGGGCCTTATGCGGCTGCTCTGAAATCCTATCTTCTATTGCAGGGAACACTTATACAATACTTTCTGGGACACGACTGTGTTTGCCTTCTAGTTTCCAACGCTGTACATTCTCCTTCCTCTTTGTTTTGACTCCTGAGTATAGCTGTGTGATGTAGTTCATACAATGCTTAGACTGGGAAGCTGAAAGAAAAATACATTAAAGATGAGTTTTGAACAGCATTGCGCTCACTTATTTGAAGCTCTTTGGCAGCCATGTTTCAGTTATAAAACCTAACTACAATAATCTGGCATATGTAAATGTTCAAAATAAATTGTTGTGTCTTAATTAAAAAGCAACTTTTGCTATATATATAAACAATATATTAATCAACCTGAAATAAAATACATAGACATTTTTGCTATCGATCACCTGCAGAAATTGATACATTGCCTTCAGCAAAACCACACAGTAGAAAATAACAAGGCTTATGGAAAAAAATGAGATTGGGGCAGAACTCTCAAAGTCCAGAGCTAGAGCTGGCTCCAGACTGATCTTTTGAAAGCATAAAACAATATAGCTGCAACATTGGGTTTGAGGTATGGAGGCAAGAAGGAGAGTGCTTTGTATCTTGAATGTCACCCTGATTGGATTGACAAACCTCTAGAAGAACAGGAAATCATGGTGTTGGAAGTATCTGTAGTTTCTAGGGAGGGTGAAGTAGGGTGAAAGCAACCCCTCTAAGTGTGGGAATCACAAACCAACAGGCCAGGGCCTGGCCTGGGTGGGATCAAGGGGAGAGAGGATGAGGAAGCTAGTGAGCAAATGGTTCTCTCTGTTCTGGGCTGCTGTGATGTGCCCACTCCACCACACTCCCCCCACCACAGTGTGCTGAGACCTTTGAACATAAGCTAAAATAAATCCCTCTTCCCTTGGTCTGTCAGGTGTTTGTCACAGCAGTAAAAAACCAAACCAAACATGACTAACACAGAAAGAAACTGGAGATGTGAGCCCAGGAGAAAATCCTTCTGCCTGTGCAGATGGAGAGCTCCTGATGTCCCCATCTGCACAGGGAGTGCTGAGTGCAGGCATCCATTTCATTTCCTTAAAACTGAACCCTGAGGATGTTTGCTTGTTCAGCACCTGGAGCAAGGGCTTTCCTCTGCTAAGGCTTAGGATTCTCTTCCAGCTGTTTTTTCTTCCCTTTGCCCAGGAAAAACACCACAGGAATTTACACAAGTCACACCAATTCCGATGGCAGTCACCTGTGCTTCACAGCCCAATGGTCAGCAGGTAGTTTCCACATTGTCCCCACCATCTGGTCTCTGTGTCTCTTTCCCTACTAGAAGCCTATTCTCTCTGTGTTACACCTTGGAAGGTCAAAATGAAACAAAAAGGCACAGGTGTTTTAAGATTCCACAAAACCCCTTAAGCAAACAAACAGAGCCAAGAAGCAAAGCTCAGGACACTTTCTTGAAACACTTGGCAGGTAGAATAAATTAATTTGCAGGGAGGACATACTGCAGGTAGAAGGTATATAATTCTTGCCGTGTTATCGACCTGCCTGGCTTCTGCCTACTAGATTTTTTAAAAATCAGAATACACACATGTTCGTGTGCAGAGCCTCACTCCCATCCACCCATCCACCCCCATCCACTCTCCTTCTCCTTTAGGGTCTTTCCTACCATTTTCTTTTGCTTAAAGTAATGCAATGAAGCCATCCAAAAGACCCCAAATATTTCTCTTTGGATCAGTTAAGCCTTGAATTCATTTATTCATTGAAAATTTACCAGATATTCCATTTGTGCCAGGCTCCATGACAGACTTCAAGGATGCAGAATGAATTCAGTTGTTTTCTGACTAACAGAATAAAGCATAGGATAGTATGGAAAGGGTTGCATTGCCGGAGGTTTTGTGTAGGATGTGGCACAGCTCTGGCCACACAGTGACCCTGAGTGTGACAACGAAGTCAGAGCCGGCCTTCCTAAAGTGGAGAACGTTCTACTACAAGAATTTAGCTTCCGTTTAATCTTTAAAGACAAACTTCCTTAAATGCCATAAAACAAGTGAAAATCTATCAGGTCAAACCAAACTTTGATCCTATCCCCTCCTCACTTTCCCTAAGGCGACTCACGAACCAGCCTCATCGTTCAAGTGTCAGGCCACGCATGCGACTTACTCTGTTTGTTATTCTCTTGGGAAGATGTTTCTTCATTGTTGGATCTTGACCTATAACTTTCTAGAGTTTGCTCTGAAATTTCACTTTCTGTAAGAAAAGAAAATTACTTTACTAATTTCTGACATTGCACACATCGTTAGAAATGGATGTTGGAAGAAGATGACAGCCTGGCCATTGCTGAACTATCACGATCTCCTGTGCCTTATGCATTCATTAGCTCAATATGCCATCTTACAGGGTTTTCAGGGCTCCCAGGGGCACTGTAAGAGATGAAGTCAAATGACAGCAGGACAGAAGTAGGCATTGTTCTTCACAAAGGAACAACTGCAGCAGCCCTAACAGAATGGTGGTGGCCAATTGTTAACGGGAGACTTTGAAATAATGCTCTGCCATTTGCCTACTGCACAAATGAAACATCAGACCCTGTCTCTGGGCATGCATGCATACATATACATATACATATACATATACATATACATATACATATACATATACATATACATATACATATACATATACATATACATATACATATACATATACATATACATATACATATACATATACATATACATATACATATACATATACATATACATATACATATACATATACAGGTCAAATTATCTTTTACTTGATTTACTTAGCATACAAAATGTGGGTTTTCATTATGACATTTTCATGCATATTGTGGTAGTTTGAATCAAAATGACCTATGTAGGCCCATATACTTGAATGCTTAGTCATCAGGGCATAGAACTACTTGGGAAGGATTAGGACATCCTTATTGGAGGAGATGTATCACTGGGAGTTGGCTTTGAGATGTCAAAAGCTCACACCAAGCCCAGTCTCTCTATCTCTACCTGTGAATCAAGATGTAGAACTCGCAGATATGTTTCCAGCACCATGCTTGCCTGAATGCTGCCACATTCTGCACTTTGGTGATAATGGACTCACTTTGATACTGTAAGCGTCTTCTGTAAGTTGCCTTGGTCATGGTATCTCTTCACAGCAATAGAAAAGTAACTAAGATACATATGTTATCATTGTAGTTTTCTTATGTTTGCCTCCCACCATACTCCATTACCCCCACTTAGATCTCTTCTCCCCTTCCACTGCTCCTCTCCAGTCTTCCTTCTGCTTTCATGCCATCTATATTTTCTGCTTGTGAAGGAAAGCGCATGCTATTCATCTTTCCATCATTACCCTCTCTTAGTCACCCCCTTAGGTCTATCCATGATGAGTCATTACTTCATCTGTCTAGATGAGTTCATGCTAAGCTATCAAGAGTGATGCTTTTTTTTAAAGATTTTATTTATTTATTTATTTATTTATTTATCTGTTATGTATACAGCATTCTGCTTCCATGGATATCTGCACACCAGAAGAGGGCACCAGATGTCACTACAGATGGTTGTGAGCCACCAAGTGGTTGTTGGGAAATTGAACTCAGGATCTCTGGAAGAGCCTTTGGTGCTCTTAGCCTCTGAGCCATCTCTCCAGCCCAAGAGTGATGCTTTTAAGCCAGAGATATTCAAAGGTGCAGTGTCTTGAGTTGGCATAAAGAATTTTCTGTTGCCAGAGACCTTGGACCATATGTGACTAGATCAGCTTTGTCCAGCAGCACTATAACACACCATTTAAAATACTCTAGCAGCTACAACAAAAAGGGGGGATATTAATTATATTTTGGTTAACTGGCATACCCCAAATACCACATTATGTTTGAGTTTGAATGTGTGTACTGATTTTTGAAAATTGGGTAGTTTATCTTTATAGCACATCTTGATAATGACTCATGGCATGTTAGGGGCTAGACAGTCATCTTGTGACTGCCGCAACAGACAATGTAGGGCTAAATTGTTGAGAATGAAGCAAATATTTCTTTTAAGTTAGTTTTTAAGTTTTTGATTTGTATATATTGCATTGCGATCGTATTTACCTCCATTACCTTTTGCCATGCTCCCTCCCCTGCTCACCATCATATTTTCTCCAACTAGTGCCCCATCATCATGTCTTTTTGTTTGTTTGCAGCTCCTATATAGGTGGTCACAGCTGCTGTGTGTTCATGATGCCAGAAGCCATGGCACACCCAGAAGACAGCATTTTCTGGTGCCCCTCCCATTCTCCAGTTTTTACAGTCTTCACACCCTCATGAAGAGGGGCTCTAATCCTACATATGTTCATGGAGTTATTCTGAATAACTTCTAAGGTCTTGTCAGGCTCTGCTATATGTTGAGCATATGCATTTTAGTAGGGATCATCTGTGCTAGATATTTTGATTTATTTATTACTATGGTATTATTATGATTGTTATTGTGTGGCTTTAATGCTAACTATTTCACTAGAATGCTTGAGGGGAAATGGCTGGTGTCTTATGAACGAGTGAAGCTGAGCACATTCTTGTAAAATTTGAAAAATATAGGACTTTTATCAATAACTAGAATATAACCTTTATCTATAGCTAGAACATAAGGAGACCAGGGATCTCCAATCCTGTAGACTCACATAGCCCCAGCCCAGGAATGGTTCCTGGCATGCAGTGGGCACTCAGGGAAGGCTTGCTGAGTGAATGGATGAATTGGCTCAGGGTTTTGTCAACAAGAGCATCTACAGTTCTGCACCAACTCCCATTGCTACTTTAGCATTCTGTCTGACACTTTTTGAGCACGTTCCCTGGAGATCCATAGCCCACATTTGCTAGAAAAGAAATGGTTGCTTATTTGAGTGACACCCCTTGCTGGCCAGCTGGCACAGTAGCTAAGAGAGGGGTTTGACTGACAGGCTCCCCCGTTTCTCTACTCAGTCATTGGACTCGTAGGGACCTCACCAGATTCTCTGCTCACTCACCCCTTTTCCAAATCATGTGTGCTTTACGGAGCTTCATGATGAAGAGCTGAACGATGATGAAGAGGATGAAGATGAGGAAGGACACCAGCGTGAGCAGCAGGATGCCACTCTTCCTCCTCTCCAGGCCTGTGTACTGAGCACTGGCTTCTGTGAAGAGAGTGACAGGTTATTAGGCGGTTTGGGTTTGGTGCCTTTCCCTCTAGTTCATGGTGGAATGTGGTGGTTGGTCCTCATCTGTCTTTCTTTCTCTAATTTTCTTCTTATTTTGAGATGAAGTTTTATTATGCAGCCCTGGCCAGCCTGGAACTTGCTGTGTAATCCAGGCTTTCGTGAAACCCACAGGTACCCTCCTGTCTACCTCTCTAGTGTTGGGGTTAAAGGCATGTGACACCACACCTGGATGTGATGCTTAATTATTTTATTTTGTTTTATTTTTGAGACAGGGTTTCTTTGTGTAGCCCTGGAGTTCCTAGAACCAGCTCTGTAGACCAGGCTGGCCTTGTTAACTCACAGAAATCCACCTGCCTCTGCCTCCTGAGTGCTGGGATTCAAGGTGTGTGCCATCACCACCTGGCACTGTGGATTTTAATTGTTATCTTGACACAAAGAGACCATCTCAATGAGGGAGTGTCTGTGGGAGATTGTCTTGATTCCATTAATTGACTAGGATGACCCTGCCCATTGTGGATGGCACCATTCCCTAGGTTTCAGTTCCAGACTGTATAAAAGCAAAGAAAGTGAGCCATGGGTCAGCAAGCATTCATTCATTCTCACTATGCTCCTAACTATGAATGGGACAAGCTAGTTCAAGTTCCTGCCTTGACTTCCCCACAATTGCAGACTATAACCCGGAGCTGTAAGCAGAATAAAACCACTCTCCATTCAAGCTGCTTTTGTGAGAATGTTTTACCACAGCAGTAGGGAATGCAGCCAGGGCAAGGAATATATACAGCACTTCTCCAGCTCAGCTCAGGAGAAGGGCCAAATTTACCCCAGAAACCACTCTTTCTACATGCTTTCGGGTCTCTGAAAACAAGCAAATAGGCAATAGAGACAAAACAATCCCACGGATCACTTGAAAAGTTGTGTGTTTACTTTTTAATGACATGGATATTTCATTCTTTTTTCATTTCTAGAGAAAGCATGAAAGAATATTGACTTAAATTACAGTATGGGAATTTTAAGTAGCTATGAGGAATGCTTCTTCAGCACAATATAGCATAGTAGCTCAGGAGAATTAGGGGGTTTTGGAAAAACTATCCAAATAAGACAAAATGCTGTGTACTGTAGTGGCATCTTGCCTTGCCAGTGAACTTGTGGTGGTGGCCACACCCTTTGGGCATGGTTCCAGGTACAGATGAGACCTCTTATAAGGTAGAGGAGGGGCTGGCTCATGCTTTCTTAGGTTATGGAGAGCATTGGAAGGGCAGAGATGGCATCTTCTGGAGCAGGAAGACTGTAGCAGTTATTTACTCTTATCTGTGTAAGTGCTTCCCTAATAAACACCTATTTATCATTTATCTTGGTTCTGGTGGACTCATTTAAACCCTGCCTTCAATGTACCTTGACTAGGCTAAATGTGGCCCTTGTAAAGCATTAGGAGATACACTTGATGAGCTCTTAAAAGTACTTCTAAACTAGTCTGTAATTTTGCCAAATGTCCTTCACCTCAGCCAACAAGCCCAGAATTAAGGAATTGTGGCTATGTAGAGATCAGAGTACTTGAATCTGCCTAAGACATAATCCTTATGCCTTAGGGGATCATTTTTTTATAAAAATAAATGCATTACAAAGGCAAAAACAAGTAGGATATGCCAACTCCCAGAACCACGTGTATTTATAGAATAGGAATTCAGAGACAAGTGGGGACCCTGAGGCTGCATGCATCTGGGAAGCTTCCAACAGACACCAATCAGTTTTGGGAGAGAAGACCATTAAGGTGAAGCCTCTCCCACTGTGGGGTAATAAGGACTGACAGGGCAGGGATGTTGAGACAGGGTGTGCCTTCAGAGCATTATGTATCTCGCAGGGGCTTTCTAGAAGCAGGACTGCAGAGATAGATAGCAGAGTGCACCTTAAGCAGATGGAAAGCTGGTTTTCTATGTTGTAGATGATGAGAAGCCAGAAAGGTTCTCAGTACACAAGTGGGAAGGGTACAAGGGTACGTTTCCATGGTGCTAAGCCTGGACCAGAAGAGGAAGAGCTGAAGTCACAAGATGACGAGGCCCCATATTAAGGAAGTAACTATGAGCATAGACAAAACACCTGGAAGAGAACTCATGCGTCATCAGTGACTACATGTGTGTGCCTGTGTATATGCGTCTAGCATATACATCTAGGAATTCAGAAAAGGGACTGGAGAGATGGCTCAGCAGTTAAGAACTACTCTTCTTAAGAACTGGCTGCCATGAGGGAGCAGAAAGGTTGAGTCAGGTATAAATTAGAAGAAAGGATATGCGATAGGTAGGGTATTAGTTGGGGGGGATGGTAGGGGAGGAGGGGAGGGAGAAGGGAACTGGGATTGTCATGTAATTCTGTTTTGTTGGTAACTAAAATAAAAAAATAATCCTTAAAAAAAAGAAGAAAAAAAAAAAGAAAAAAAGAACTGGCTGATCTTTTAGAGGACCTGGGCTTGACTCCCAGTGACCACATGATGATCCACAACTGTCAGTGACTGCAGTCAGGGCCTCCAGTGTCCTCCTCTAGCCTCTGTGGACACCAGGCACACATGTGGTACACATTCAAACATGCAGACAAACACTCATACCCATGAAAAAGAAATCCTTTTAAAACAAAAGAACTCAGAAGAAGTAGAGTTAGTTAGCTGGTGTAGTGATGCAGTGGTTAGCAAAAATAACAGGACAGGGAGGATAAGGAAATCATGAGACAACTAAGGATGGGGTAAGGGAGCGATCAACATGTTATAAGGGTAGAAAGGTCACAGAAAACAAGGACTGAAGAAAACCATTGGGCACACAGCTAGGAGGTCAGAATATCAGACATCTGTTCTAAGCCCAGTGGTTAACACTCACCAGTAGTCAAGTCAGGGTCTCGAGTGACATGTTCTTTCTCTTCCTTGTCAGTCTCTTGTATACTGGAATTTTCCACCATTGAGACTAAGGTGAAAGTAAGACACGATATATACCTATATCACTGTATGTGACTCATCCTATAACTGTTCTGGCTTGACTGTCCTTCCCCTCTGAGTTTCAATTAATAATAAGCACAGTTCTATTTGCTTTTACTTTCAGGTCAAGATTTTCAGCTCTCACATACGAGCCTTTGTCTTCCTGGGCTTGTCTGATTTTGCTGTAAAAGACCAGTTTCTCATAAAAATAGTCACAATTGGCCAGCCTCCCTTTGTCATACCTGTAAAGGTAACCCTTTACTCAACACCTAATGTGCTCCAGGCTATGCACTTGGTATGTAGTCTCTCACTTCAGCTCTGAGAGAATGCGCTCTGAGCAGTTGCAAAGGGCCTAGTCCTGAAGCAACTGAGTAACAGAGTCTATCAATCAGGACATTCCCAGTTTGTTGTCTAATTGGGGAATCTAGATCAAAGTCGTTATTCCTTGATTCCTTCCTGGTGAGAACAATCAGGGAGGAGGCCCATAGGATGCTTCCAGAGAAGCACTAAACAAGGAGGGCCTGGGATGGCCTCTAGGCTTTCTGGAGAGAAACTTGGGTAGAAATGCACAGCACAAAGACTTTTGTGCTGCACTAGAGTCTCAGCCGCCTGTCTAAAGCCTGGATGCCCATCTTTTAGAAACGGGTTGAACTGTGATGTTTTTGCAGATGAACTGGAACAATAAGGCGGCTTTTCTGGAGTTCTGTTGCTTATGCTTCCAGGTCCCTCTTCCTTGGCTGCCGTGTTTTATCAGCCCATGGCACAGCGCCACTATGTGGCCCCGAGGGGAATGAAGCCTCCAACTCTCAAAAGAGGTATTATTAACAGTAATAAAATGGCAGAAATTGAAAGCTGAGAAGAATTTTAGAGACCATGTCTCTTAAATCCTAGATTGTATATGAAAATGCAGAGCAGAAAATTGAGTTGTTCAGTCGTGGTGCCAGGCAATTTAAAAACAACCAGACTCTGAGCACGCTTAAAAATATTGAATTATTAAGGCAAGGAGGTGGTTGCCCCACTTCATAATGTTTTCAATTTCCACCACACTTCAAAAAAATCTGTACAATACATATTGTATCTTTCAGGGTTTAAAAACCCCAAACCTTTACTTTTCAATATTATTCAGGACACAGCTTTTTTTTTTTTTAATGTGATCTGATACTGAAAACTATGAACATAATGACCCGAAGACAGTTACCTCGAAATATGGAATTATTATAGAGAACATTCAGGAATGCATGCCTTCTTGAGGGAGGCTAACCACCCCGCTCAAGACACCTTTAAACTCACTCATCATTCATTCATTCATTCATGCATGCATGCATATGCTCATTTATTGTGCACTTTCTGAGTACCCACTATTGGCAGATACAATGCTGCACAAAATGAGTGCACCCACATATGTACACACATACACACCATACACATACACAAGTTTTAGAAATATTCTTTAAATGTAGAATTAAAAAATGTGTCATCCCAACCAGGCATTTCTTCTAAGGTTTCAGGGATTTTTGAGACTTACCCATACTCGTGGGCTGCTGGGGGTCTGGAGAGGAGAGAGACCTCTGCTCAGGGGCGTCTGAAGCTGTTTCTTCATCTGCAACTAAAAAGGGGGAAAAACAAAATTCTGCAACCACTGAGATCAGCTTTAGCCACATCTTACTCAGGATCACAGCTCGCAGAGCCTGGCTGCTACTCACTTCTGGGGGTTGTGAGGAGACTCGGAACCCAGACTCTGTGTTTTGAATCTGTACCCTGCTGCTTGCCCATCTGCTAGGTGACCTGGCTGAGAGTACAGCACGCTGGGACCCCTGTGTGCAATGGCATTTGGCAGTAGCAGGCAAAGAGTATTTGCTGTGTCCTTTTGCACACACCTATCAGTTCCTCTGTCTGTCCATCTGCGATGGATAGTTTCCTATTTCCAGAGGAAATATACTTCCATATCACCGACCCATTATTCCAGGTGCAGAACGAACTGAATCTCAATGCTATTATTAGTATGCTCCTTAGTGACTTGGGCAAGATGCTCAATTTATCCTTCATGAACATTTTCCCTTGTGTGTGAAATACAGTTGCTAGCTTTTACCTGGTGTGTATGTGTGCACATGTGTGTGTGTGTGTGTGTGTGTGTGTGTGTGTGCAGTAATAACTCCATTCACATAGGTGTTTAGTATAGTGCCCATTTACTAAGTGAGATGCCCACTAAATGTTGTTGTGTAACATAAAGAAATGTTTGTGGATATTTCCAGAGAGTCAGCTTAGATCATTTTGATCAGTCAATGAAAAGGCTGGCATCCTCATGCAGCAGCTGGTGGAAATAGAAGCAGACACCCACAACTAACCACTGAACTAAACTGGAATCCAGATGCAGAGAAGGACAAGTGAAGAGCAAAGGTTCCAGATCAGGCTGATGAAACCCATAGAAACAGCTGACCTGAACATCGGGGAGCCCTTGGTCCCCAGACTGATAGCTGGGATAC